TCTGCCTGTGCCTTTGAATGTCCGTGATTTGAGGAGGCTGTTTTGCGCCTGTGTCCACGTTTCGTGGGCCCGCGTTTGGTTGTGAGTGCTGGTGGGCGCATCGTTGTGTCCGCGTACGTGGTCTGTGCCTGTCGACGTGTCTGGGTTGGGTGTCCGTGGAGTATGTGCGCGCCGAGAGCCAGACACCGCCCCAACTCCTCGCTCCCCTGCTGTCCACCCCGGCCCAGACTTGGCTTCAAACTTTTCTCCGGGTTCCTCGGCAACAGCGCCCGTCCTCCTCCCCACTGCAGTCAGGGCGGGGGGCTCTGGCAGCCCTCCCCTCATTCACCTCCAGGGGTCCTTAGAGCCGCGAGGGGATGGGACAGGATTGGTGGGTGGGGCAATCGGCAGCGCCTGAGGACTGACCCGAGCCGAAGCTGGGCAGAGCGTGCCGCACACGCCAGCCGAACCTGCTGGGAGGAGAGAGGTAAGCAGCCGGTCCTGGCCCCCGATCGGGGGCTGAAGAGAGGAGAGGAGCGGGCAGCTGGTGGTGCCCGCCCCACGCTCCTCGGAGAGAGTGTATGTGACCGAGACAGATGTGTCTGCTTGGCGGAGAGGCCAGCCACTAACCCCCGGCTCCGCTTTGAGATCCGCTCTCCGTTTGTATCCTGCCCCGGGCGGGGGGCGGGGGCGAGGGGTGTCGAGCCCTCCAATCCCGTAGGTGAGAAGGCAACGACGGCTGCCCGCGGCGCCGGCTCCCGGGACCTCCAGCTGGGCTGCTGGGAGGAGGAACCTTGCACACACTATAGTTTCGAATGGGATGTCCACTGGCCCACAATATGGCACTGGGCAAGTTGCTCAGCCTCTCTGAGCCGCAGTCACCTTGTAATGGAAGTGGGTGAGAACTCCCTCGCGGGGCAGAGCGTGCGGTGGCGATAACCAACGCAGGCAGAGACGGCCTGAGGTGCAGTGCCCGCCCACACTTGGCCTGGGTGAGGGGGTGACTCAGGAGCTTCTGATCCTCCCTGCCTGCTCTACCCTTCGGATAAGTCCAGACTTGCAGAGCTCAGGTCTGACCTGAGAAGGAGGGCTCAGGCTGCCGGGAGCCTCCTTTTGATCCTGGGTGGCAAAGATAACCCTTTAACACCTTCCCTCCCCTGCCCCTACCCCCACCCACCCCAGTCTTTAACCTAGAATTTTGCTTGATGCTGCAGACGTGAAGGATGGGCGCAAGCCACTCGCCTCACCGTGGACACTTTCCTTTCCCTCTTTGGGCCTCAGTTTCCCTTCTAGAAAGGCAGGTGCTGACAGCCTCTCTCCTCCCTTCCTGTTCCGGCTGACTGGTTGAGATCCTAGAACCTGGAAACACTTTGATATTTAACACCTCCATTCTGACTTGACCAATTCCCAGGCACTAATTTTCTCTTTTGAAGAGGGAGAGGGAAGGTGGCTTTGAAGTTAGGTAGGGATGAAGTAAGGTGGGCTGGAGCCCCTGCAGCCCAGGAAGGGAAGGCTGGAAAGCAGCAGGCTGGGGAAGCCAGGTGAATACACCTGGGAGGGAGGCAGGAGGTATCTCCCACAGAGGGAACTGCCCTGCCCAGCTCTGTATGTTCTGAAACAGCGCAGGGGTGTTCAGCATTGTGGACTGTCAGATGCAAGGTTGGAAAGGGAGGGTTGGAATTCAATTTGAGGCTGGGAAGGAAGGCAGGGGCCAAATATGAGGGCCTTGAATGCCAGACCTAGGAGCTGGGATTTAGGCAGTGGAGAGCTGCTAGAGGGTTTTTTAAGCTGGCATGACAGGGTGGGGTTGGTAATTCTAGGAAACCTTCCTCTGGCTTGTGGGTGGTGCTGGAGCCTGGGAGACCAATCTGGAGGCTAAGTGCTCCAGCCTCTTAGAGTTGGAAGGAGATTTTCACTTATTTTCACTTACTTCATTGCTTCCTAGCTCTGTGGCCTTAGGCAAGTAACTCTACCTCTCTGATTCTCAGTCTCCTCATCCTTCAAATGAGGTTAGTAATTCCGGTCTGACTGATCTGTTGTGAATGTTCAATAGGATAATGAATTACATGTGCTAATAAAATGAGAAGAGATTTGTAGTCTGTATTACATCATGCAGACATTTGTTGGATTGCACTGACAATAGAAGGCAGAGCCAGCATCTACTATGGTTCTAAACTTGATATCGCCCCCGCCTCCCCGGGAAAGCCCTAAGTATCCTGCCAGCTTGGACCACTGGTACCCTCTCCTAAGCAGAGGGAAGCTTTTTGCCTAGGACATTTCACTCATCTGGCTTATCCCGTTCGCATGGCCATGCCCCACATAGGAGAGGAGATGGACCGTCAGATTTGGAGATGGCCACACAGCACAGTGTGTCGTATTTTGACGGGGCCACTGGAGCCCAGGGAGAGGGTGACCTTTTACTGGATGACGGGCAGGTTAGACTGGGAAGACCTCACAGAGGAGGTGACTTTTTTTCTTAACATCTTTATTAGAGTATAGTTGCTTTACAGTGTTGTGTTAGTGTCTGCTGTATAACAAAGTGAATCAGCTATGTGGTTGCCCACTCTCACCACTGTTATTCAACATAGTTTTGGAAGTTTTAGCCACAGCAATCAGAGAAGAAAAAGAAATAAAAGGAATCCAAATCAGAAAAGAAGTAAAACTGTCACTGTTTGAAGATGACATGATACTTATACATGGAGGTGACTTTTGAATCGAATGAGTGAGAGTTTGCATGGAAAACAAAGAAAAGTAGGGTGTCTCTGTCATCTTCATCCGAGGGAACAGCCTGTGCAGAGATGTGGGGCCCGATGAGCAAGACGGGCCTCTAGACTGGCAAGCTGTCTTTGCAGGATAGGTTTTAAACCAGGAGCAGTGATGGGGTCCCAGTCTTCTGTCGGGATTGTACTCTGGTGCCCAGCATGGCCGGCAGTTGGAAGCAGAGGACCAGGAACAAGGCTCTTGGAGCAATCCAGGCCAGGAGGTCTCCTGAACCTGACCTGTGCAAGGTGGGAGTTGGGGGGGGGGGAGACAGTGAGCCACCCACCCAGGGGTAGCTGCTGAGTCTCATTCTGTCACAGGTGACACAACTCTTTCAGCCTGCTTTGACCTCTGCGACCTTTCCAAACTCCCTTACCAACTTCCTTGGTAGAGCCTGGTCAGTGCTTATAGCCCAAGCGGGACCCTGGGTGGTGCACTGGGAGAGAATCCAAGGAAGAATCCATTTTGTAGTCTTCTCTATCCTCTGCCCCTGCCTTGCTTTCAGGTCTGCTGGTGTCACGGCTCCTTCTTCTTTCCTGGCCCCTGAAATCACCCATTAGGGGGCAGGAACCCACATGCAGTGAGCACCAGTGTGTGCCAGGCCCAGGGCTGAGTCTTCACTTTACCTTGTGTAATCATCCCAGTGGCCTGCTGGGAGCAGTACTAGGTTTCTCACCATGTTACAGATGAAGACTCAGACTCAGAGGGGAGAGGGCCTCCTGGCAGGTGAGGTATGGTGGGGCTGGAACCTGGTGTGCCTGACCATAAAACCCATTTCCTCTGCCCCACACTGCCTGCCCATGTGTCCACACATGCCTCAGACCGAAGGGAACTTGCGAAGCTTCAGAATGGAGAAAATAGTATTGGGAGCCTTGTCTATTTCCCTGTAGATTATCCTCCAGGGATGATGTCATGGAGGAGGCTAGGCACTTGGTGTCAGAACGCCTGGATTCTGAGTCCAGCCTCTGACCTCACTGGCTGTGTGACTCTGGGCAGATCACCGAACCTCTCTGGGTCTCTACGCAGATGTAAAATAGATACAATGCCATGTAACCTGCTGATCTTGCAGGGTGACTGAACAGATAAGAGTTGAGGAGGCACTGGGAAGGTTGAGAGCTATCCTTTGGCGAGGTGGTAGTATTCTAAATGCCGAGTATATCTTCATATAGTACCTGCTCTGTGCCAGACCCGGCAGCCAGGCCCAAGGACATAAAAGGGAACCTAACCCCATTCCTACCCACAGGAGGACAGACAGGTAAGTGTAATTATAGTCCAGCACGATCCACACGTGCCTACTTGTAAGCTAGGGCACAGCCATACAAGGAGCATTGGATTTGGAGCTCAGACACGTAGGTTTGAGACCTGGTTCCTCTCCTCCTCAGCTGAATGTCAGTCTGCAAAACAGGGACAGTAATCCCCGTGGTCAAGGGTTGTGGTGAGGCCGAAACGAGATGGTGCTGTAGAAGTGCGTGGCGAGCTGACGTGTTTGTACAGATGTGCGGCATTAGAGCTGCTGTTGGGGGAGCCGACCCACAAGGCTCCGGGAGTTTGGCCCTGACATTCTTTTTGCCTTGCGTTTCCAGAACTGACTAAGCCACTGGGGGCCAGGACGTTAATGGAATTTCCACCTGGGGATTTCGTTGGCGTCAGCTTGAGGGAGCTCACGATGAACATAAGTAGGGTTGGAGGCATCTCAGCATGGAGCAGCCGGTGGAGACAGAGCCCGTCTCAGGTGGGAGCTCGGCCCCCTGCCCACCTCGCCCCTTGGCCAGGGACTCCCCCTTGAAGTTGTGGTGAGGAGCTGGCAAATCTAGGGGCCAGAGATGCTGGGATGCAGCACCACGGGCAGGCAGCTGGAGCCAGGAGGACCCGAGCTGGAATCCCTAACCCCAGGGAGCCCTCCTCAGAGGAGGAGGGAGGTTGGGGCCTTGTCAGCAGACACCAGCATGGTGACCAGAGGATGTTAGCACAGGTAGTCACAGACCCGCCGGGTGCTGACGCCTCTTTGGGTAGCTGGGAACAGAGCAAAGAATAACACAGTCATTGCCTTCAGGAAGCTTAATAAATCATCACCATCACTGTCTACTATGCATTCAGCACTCGAGGCGTGGCAGTCGAGCTGACTGTTTCACACGCTGTCCCCTAATGCTTTCACCAACCCTGTGTTGTCGCCCCTGTCGAGGACACGGAGGCTCGTCAAGGTTGAGACGTGCCCATAGTAGGTACAGTAGGTACAGAGGTAGTAGGTAGGTACTCTAGTAGGTACAGAGCTGAATTCACAGCCGGGTCTGAGTCCCGTGGTTGACTCTAAATTCTGGGCTCTTCATTCATCCAGCGTGTTTGCCGGGCCTGCCAGGCCTGGCTGTGGCCCCAGGTAGGGGAAGGGATGAACAGGTGAAGAAGGCAGGGTCACTGCCCCAAGCTGCTCGCACTTCAAGTCAGGAAACGGGCGGGTAAATAACGGCAGAGGCAGAGAATTTACCGAGTGTGTGTCTGAAGGAGGTGTGTTGATAGTGTGGTGTGAGAGGCCCTGCCCGGGGAGCAAGGAAAGGAGGGGGGCGTGGCCCAGGAGCCTGAGTGGACAGAACGGGCTTTGTTCCACTGGCAGGGCCAGGGCAGGCCTGGGGATGCGGCAGTCCTGGCAATGGTGTGAGGCATCAGAACCCAGGTCCTGGGTCCTGCTCTGCCGTTTACTTGCAATCACTGACCGTCTCTGGGCCTCAGTTACTCGTGATCTCTGAGGGGCCTTCCAGTTCTCCAGCCCTGGAATTCTCTGAGTTTGGAAAAGTATGAGAAGAGGCTGAGAGTTGTCCAAAGGCCGCCACCATAGGTTCGAATCAAGAAGGGAGTTCAGCCGAAGGAGGGAGGAAGGTGGGGACAACTTGCAGATACCTCTGTGCCAGAGGGAACTTGATTCCTGTGGTAAAGTAGAAGTCAGGAGGTTTTTGAGAGGAGCGATGATGTAGCCAAAGCTGTTTTAGAGGTTCTCATAGCACCGTCTGGAGTGTCGCAGTGGGGAGACCTGCCTGGGGCCTGTTAGGGCCACACCACTGACTCTTTTGACCTCACGGGCCATCTGTAAACTTTCCTTAGAGTCACAGTGGGCCCAACAAGGAATAGCTCATGGCCCTTGCCCAGAGGACCTTATGCTATACCCCCCTAACCAGGGGTGGGTACAGTTACTAAGCCTTTGTCCTGCTGCCCTTGTGTTCTATAACCTGGCTGATCAGCAGATGCCTTTTATCTGCAGGTCAGGGTTTGGAAAGTAAGTGATGTATCCTGGGCCAGAGATCCTCCCTGGCCTTCCATGGTGAATACCTGTCTGCCTTTCCCTTTCTCCTGAGGGTAGATCACAGGGTCCCAGAGGGAGGGAGGGAGGGAGGCAGAGTCACTACTACACAGAAAAGAAAACTGAGGCTCCAGGAAAGAAAGAAAACTGTGAAGGTCACACAGTTAGTAGCAGATCTGGAACTAGAGTCCTGATCTCCTGGGTCTACGGCAGGTGCTAGCGATCTTGATATGAGTTGTTCTCCTGTCCCCGTTACAGATTTGTAAGCCCCATGAGGACAGGGGCCCTGGGATCTCCCACCCCGACCCCAACATACACCTCACAGGGCCTAGCACACTGCCTTGCACTTAGCGATTTAGTGCTGTGGTTGATTAATTCTGTCTGCAGTGGCTGTGGGTATTATGGATAGAATGAAAAGGTACAGTGTTTCCATTATGTGGCTTCTACCACTTGGGGCCTCATTTCTCTACTGGGGCATTGGTCTTCTCAGTCTAATCTTCACAGCCATCCTCTCTGAGCCTGATAGGACCATCATTAGCATCCCAGGTTCACAGCTGAAGGAACTGGTCCAGGTAAAGTGACTTGCCCTGTTCACACTGCAAGTTGGTGTGCAAGGCTTTCTCACTCTCTAAGAAGGCCTTTCCTCTCCGTGGAGCTGAGGCTAGTGGTTTTTGTGAAGAGGAACTCACGTTACTCATCCCTTCCCAGACCCAGCAGCCGTGTTGAGAAACAATATAGTCATAGTGTGGCTTCCTAGGAAAGAACTGCTTTCCAGCAGGGCAGTGGTAAGAGCTTTGTCATGTTTGATACATATTTGCTGGAGGAAGGAGCAAGAGAGATGGGGTCAGGCCCACCCACTTATCCCCACCCCACCCGCTCCCATCTGTAGAGGGAGGCAGGGGGTCCACACTGCACCCTTCGCCTGTGCTGGGAACCCTGCCTTACTCCCACCACTATGTTTCATCCTCGTGACAGGCCTGTGACATGGCTCTTAACATCTCTATTTTACAGATGTGGAGACAGGCTCAGATTGTGGCTAGCCAAGACCAGAGAAAGCAGAGATGGCCATGAGGCGGTCCTCTTAGGAAGCTTCATTACTCAGTGTGTTTTATAGATATTTTTTACTATAAGAGAGGAAATAAGAGGAGAAAAGGAGATTAAGACATGGTTAAACCACTCAGAGTTCTACCATCTAAAGAAAGACCACTACTGGGTTGACATATTTTCTTCTAGACTTTCTAAAATTACGATTTACATTGGTTTTTTTTAATGCATAGTTATACTTTTCTTAGCATGCAATTTCTCCTTATGATCATCTCTAGAATTATGACATCAGCCCCCTCCTCCATGAGGTTGCAGACTCTTCTGAGCATTATTTTTATTGACTCCATAAGATCCCTGGGAGATTCCACAGGCGTCTTGAGTGGGCTGGAAAGCTTGGTCCTGGAGTCAGGAGTCAGAGCCTGAGCATCGGCTGCCATCACCTCACTGAGGACCCAGGGACAAGTCACCGCATGCTCTCTGGGCCACAGCTTCCTCAACACTAAAGTGAGGGATTGCACGCACTGCTCTGCAGCCCTCACAGCTCAAATGAGCAAAGGTCTTTTGGAAATTATCAGGGGCTGTGCCGCCGGCAGGGGATTTCCTTATCTTCCCTCAGTTTCCTCCTGGGAAAGTTCTGCCCTCCCCTTGGCTCCTGGATCTTTTGCTCCAAGCAGCAATGCCAGACCCCAGCGTCTCGTGACACACTCACATGAAGGCACCCCTCCTTATGTTACCCCAAAGGGGACATTGCCTCTAAGCAGAACAGGGGCACTGACCCTCAAAGACCACTAGCCCACACCTCTGCCTCTGCTCCCTTCTGGGTCCAAACTTGTGAGGCATCTCAGAGATTTCTTCCTTCTCTTCTCCCAACAGCCTTGGACGGCCCTGTGAGGCCTCTGAGCTCCGCTGTGACCTCAGGAAAGCCCCAGAGCCACTGAGTATTAGAAAGCTTGGTACCTACCTGTCCCAGCGGCCGATGGCAGCTGGAGCGTGGCCCTAGGACTCCGGATGCGTAGCTCTTCTTTCCCCAGCAACACACAGAAGTACACGTTCCACCTGAACCAAGCCAGTGACGAGGTTACAAAGGCCTGAGTTTACCTCCTGGCTCTGCTACCTTCCTCTTGCCATCCTCGGTTTCCTCCACCGTAACATGGACATAAGGCTGCTTACCTCCTGGAGTGACGGGATGGCATAAGGGAATGTGTCCGGCACTTAGTGAGGACAGGCTCTGTCACTGTCAGCACTTCCCACTTCACGTCCAGGCCTAGCACAGAACAGGGGCCCAGGGAGAGGTGTCCACTGTGCAGGGCTGAGCAGAGACCTTGTCCACGGTGCCCTGGGAGCATCACAAGCACAGTTACCCAGGCAGGTCTCAATCTACACTCCTGCTCCCTCTATATCAGCTGTCACCACCATCGCCTCCGGGGCTCAGTGGTGACCACTCAGCACGTGTGCACAGCTCTTCACAGTTTGCATTGCACTACAGTGAGAGTTGAATCAACGTATGTGAGGAGGGCAGGAAATACTGCCTTGTGGTACAGAGGACGAAGCCGAGGCCTGAGAGGCCCCCTCTCTAGGGGGGGAGGGGGAGAGTTGGGCTGTGTTACATAAGCAGGAGCTCATAAGGGGCCATTTGGCATTTAAGAGGCACATTGTATAATCACCTTTGGGAACCAAAGGGTAATCTTAGGGCCTTTTTGTGTGTCTTCGGTGTTTGTTTAAACCCCAGGAAGGGTGGGTATGCGCAGATCAGCTTAGCAGGGAAGAGGAGGCCCTAGGTGGTAATGAACCTCTGCGGTGAGAAGCTCACCAGGGGAACAAAGGGGGTGTGAGGTAACTTAATATGTTCCTTTCAGTTCCAGACACTGGAACACTCTGTCCTGCCTCAATTGGGACCAAGCCCAGGATGCACCTGGGCCGGGTTTAATCCTCAAATTGTACTCTACAGCAGAAAGGGGCGGGAGAGGAGGGGCCCACATAGGGGGCAGGGGAGAATAGCGCCCCTTCTCCCTGCCTGTGCTCCGAGCCCAAGTGCAGATCAAGTGGCTGCCCCTTTAAAGTTTCATGTAGGGCTAGTAATGCTATCCTGTTGCTCCCTCCACAGCCACCCCCAGGCCACAAGGTGGGCAGGTCCCTGGCCCACCCCTCCCTGAAGACCAGGGGGAGGAACAGGTGGGGGGAAGATGGGGCAGGGGGGCAAGTGTGCAGAGCTGAAGAACCTGCTAGAGTGAGGCTTAGTTAGTGCCTTCTATCTCCCGGGCTGAGTGGCTGCTGTGCAGAGGGAGCGTGTAGCCACAGCCTGTCCAGTTAGAGGCTTTCACTGCTCAACCCTCTCGCTCATCCTCCTGCGAGCACCACTGTCCGAGGGGCTACAGACGCGCCTGGGTGTGAGGACCGGAGGTGACAGTGTACATGGAGTGCCCGGCATCAGTGGCAGCTGCTGTTACAATTGTCCAGGGAGAGAAACTGAAGCCCGGGGAGAGGAGTGGCTTGCCTCGTAGCCTGTGTCGGTGCGAAGAGCCCCTCTTGGACCCCATCTCTCCTGCCAATCCTGCTGGAGGCAGCAGATGAAAACAGAGGAATTGGGACTGAGCGGGCCTGGGTTCTAATCCTGCCCTGCTTTTTACTGGTTTGGGGTAAAACTCTTTTCCTCTCTGAGCCTCTACCTCTTTATTTGTATAATGGGGGAACCAGCCCAGCTGCCTGCCCTAGGTTAAAGGAAGGGCCAAAGAGGTGTAAGAGCCCTAACAGCTGGGGGTGAGGGCAGGGCAAGGGGGAAGGGGCTTGGCACAGGGTCCCCAACTGGAATGAAGGATCCTGCCTCTGGAGGCCAGGCCGGGTGAGAGGGCTTAGGACTGTGGACCCAACCACTGTTACCCACAAAAGCAGTGAGGTGGGGACAGTCATTGCAGACCCCCCTTGCAGGAAGAGGCCTCTGTCTGGGAAGCTGGAGTGCGGGTCTCAGGCATGGCTCAGCCACTGCCGAACCATGACAGTGAGCCATGCTTCCTGTGTACGCCATTGGGTTCACTCCCACTTACTTGTGACCGTGCATGACTCTCTGAACCTCTCTAAGTTTCAGTTCCCCCTTCGTGAAGTGGTGACAGCATGGCTGCCTTGCAATCTTCGTGGTTGTGAGGGTGAAGTGGGACCGTGCAGGGAGGCAGCTAGCACAGCACCCAGCACCTAGCACCCAGCATGTCGCATGTGCTCAGCAGAGGTAAATGCAGTACCCGAGCCCCTAAGCTGTAGACCCGTCCTGTCCAGTGCATTTCCAGCTGGGTTCCTTAACGTCCAAGGAAGGCTCCAGGCCCTCACCTTCACTTCAACCAGAACAGGCCCACTTTCACCTGCTAATCTTATTTAAGGAAGGGTTCTCCTGCTTCCAGCCATCTGGCCTAACCCCCTTTACTATACAGATGGGGAGACTAAGGCCAGAGAGGAATAGGGACTAGAAATTATATAAGGAGGGGTATTCAGGGAAAGCGTCTGGGGGCACTAAGGGGCTGGTGGCAATTTGCAGCTGTGCCTACACACATCAGCTGGTGTCTTATGGGGTGGCTTAGAACCATCTGGTATGGGGTGCCTGGCGCCAGCCCTCACCTGTGGCTCTCTTTCTAGCCCACACCATGCTGTGGCCCCTGCTGCTGTTGCTGGCCGCCGGTGAGGCCCAGACCACTCGGCCCTGCTTCCCTGGATGCCAGTGTGAGGTGGAGACCTTTGGCCTCTTCGACAGCTTCAGCCTGACGCGAGTGGATTGCAGCGGCCTGGGCCCTCACATCGTGCCCGTGCCCATCCCCCTGGACACAGCCCACCTGGACCTGTCCTCCAACCGGCTGGAGACGGTGAACGAGTCCGTGCTGGCAGGCCCGGGCTACACCACGCTGGCCGGCCTGGATCTCAGCCACAACCTGCTCACCAGGTTCTCGCCCACGGCCTTCTCCCGCCTTCGCTACCTGGAGTCACTCGACCTCAGCCACAATGGCCTGGCCGCGCTGCCCGCCGAGAGCTTCACCAGCTCGCCCCTGAGCGACGTGAACCTGAGCCACAACCGGCTCCGCGAGGTCTCCGTGTCCGCCTTCGCCACCCACAGCCAGGGCAGGGCGCTGCACGTGGACCTCTCGCACAACCTCCTCCACAGCCTCGTGCCCCACCCTGCGCGGGCCAGCCTGCCGGCGCCCACCATTCAGAGCCTGAACCTGGCCTGGAACCGGCTCCACACTGTGCCCGACCTCCGGGACTTGCCCCTGCGCTACCTGAGCTTGGACGGGAACCCACTGGCGGCCATCGGCCCAGGGGCCTTCGAGGGGCTGGCGGGCCTTACACACCTGTCGCTGGGCAGCCTGCAGCGTCTCCCCCAGCTGGTGCCCTATGGCTTCCGTGAGCTGCAGGGCCTGCAGGTCCTGGATTTGTCAAGCAACCCCAAGCTCAAGTGGGCAGGACCCGAGGTGTTCTCAGGCCTGGGCTCCCTGCAGGAGCTGGACCTGTCAGGCACGGGCCTGGTGCCCCTGCCCGAGAAGCTGCTTCTCCACCTCCCGGCGCTGCAGAGCATCAGCGTGGGCCAGGGCGTGCAGTGCCGGCGCCTGGTGCGGGAGGGCACCTACCCCAGGCAGCCTGGCTCCACCCCCAAGGTGGCCCTGCACTGCATAGACACCCAGGAATTAGCTGCTGGGGGCTCTGATACCTTGTGACGAATGGTGTGGCCTGGGGCCATGTAACAGACTTTGCCCTGGGCTCCCTTGGGTCCTGGGTAATTTATATTTTAACCTGCCAATGCCAGCAGGGACTCTGTAGGCCTGTGTGGCAGCATCATTGAAAGAGAGGCTTTGAACCTGGGACCCACACCCAGGAGCAAGATTTTGCCCGTTTGTCTATGTTGCTCTCCAGACCATAGCTGAGGGTCTTCGATGCCAAACCAGACAGCAGTCCCCTGCTGTCCTTCCCTACTTGTCCCCAAAGTGCCTTCCCTGAGGCCTGGACCAACCTGACCCATGACAGGAGGAGGGCGGGCGGGAGGTAGTGCTGCGGGGCAGAGGTCCAGCCACTCAGGCATGGGTTTCTTTTACGACACAGCCCTCTCTTTGCTCTGGGCATGTGAGGACTACTTCATCCTTTTTTCTTCCCCTAGAACTCTGGATAGAACTTTATAGAAAGGACTGGAGAAAAAACTCTAGTCCACCTCCTCATGTGCCAGATGGGGAAACTCAGGCCGAGGGAAGGAAAAATGCTATTCTGAGGTCCTACAGTGGCAGAAGCGTGAATGGACCCAATGTCCAGCCTCCCAGCAGGGCCCCTTTGCACTTTTCTCCCCTCTCCCCTTTCTGGGCTCCCCCTTGCTTCCAAGACTCACATCCTGCCATTTGTGCCCTTTCCCTGTCGTCCCCAGGAGGAGAGACCAGGGCCTCGGGGGTGGCACTCTGGGCCCGGTAACCGGCTGTGGCACAGGCTAAGTCAGTTCACCTCGGAGCCTCTAGAAGCCTCAGGGATACCAGTCCCAGCCCTGCCAGTTTCCCACTCTGGGTGGGGGGGGGCGGCGTCCCCCAGCATCAAAATGGAAATGCGCCCATTGACCCCTAAGGTACTGCCTCTAGATGCAGTCCTGGAGCCCCTCCAGGCCCTGAGCTCCCTCAGACCCCACTGGCCCTATGCCTGACAGCCCAGCTCATCCTACTGAGAATGCAGTGAAGGAGGTAGGGGAGACCCCACCCATGTTTATGCTCCGCCACCAGGGTGGCATCTCAGCTTCCCAGCCCTGGGCTCTCTCCTTAGCATGGGGTTAATAAAAGTTGTTGCCTTTTTAATGGACTGTCACTTTCAACCCACCCCCACCCCCACCCCCACCCCGCCCCATCCAGGTCCCTGCTGGCAGGGGATGGAAATATGCCATTTGTAAAAGAAGAAAGACATTGCATTTGTTCGCTTTTGTAATAATGTGTCCTGGGGATGGGTTGGGGGAGGAGGCGTTGGGTGAAAGCCAGCCATACTTGGCCATGCGGGCGTCAAGGGGCTGGTCCCACAGGGACGCCCACAGGACAGTGAGAGCTCTGTCCTCCCCCACCGGCCCTACCCAACACCTGGTCCTTGGTTTAATAAACACTATAAAGAGGCCCTCTTCCCATCATTTGACCAGCATCCACTGACATTCCCTAGACTGGGCCATGGGGCCATAAGGATGAATTGAGTCAAGATTGTTCTCTCTGAAAAGCCCAATAACCTCCCAGGATTAGGAGAGTGAGGTGATGTGAGGGAGGGAGTTCCTCGGGGGTGGGTGGCACCTTTCACTGCAGCTAACACTGCCTGCCTTCCTCATTTCCCCTCTCCCTGACGCCCCATCTCCATGAACTTGTCAGGCCCTGCATGCCTCTGCCTTTGCTCAGGCTGTTACTCTGGGACCTGGCCCTTGCCCCCATCCCTGCCTCTCAACTCCTTCCCAGCCTAACAGACCCAGTTCCCACCTCATCTCCTTAGAAGCTTTCCCTGAGGTCCCCGTCCACCTCCCTCTGCTGTGTTCCTTCTTGGCATCTGACTGCTGTGGTATCCTAACTCCTGTTTGCCCACTTCCAGTGACAGGGATCCCACTTCCAGCTCATCTGAATGGCTCTGCTGTCAGCAAGTTCTTCCTTCTAACTAGCCAAGAACTGCAGGAATATCCATCACCATCACTACCACCAAGATTTTCCTGCTGTCTACTCTGTGCCCTGAGACTCATGTTCCTGGGGTGGGAGGGGGAAGGACACATGGAGGACACCTAACTATAAGAGCAGTACAGGGACCTGTGAGAGCCCTGTGGTGGGATTAGGAAGGCTCCCTGGAGGAGGCTTATCCATGGAGTTGAGAAGGACAAGTGGACCTGGACAGAGGTGGCTGGCACTTGAGAGGGGTCATGGGTGAACAATGGCACAGATCCCAGGACATTCAGGCCATGGGTAGGGTTGGGGTGCTTGCCCATCATGTGGCTTAGGCCCCCCAGGGCTTGGGCTCCCTGAGCCAGAGGCTGGCCCCCGCCTATATGGGAAGGATCTGAAGTTTGGGGGACAAGGGAGGGTCAGAGTGAGACCCCAGCCTTCACAGTCCTCAGATTGGTACTCCATCCTCCCACATGCCTTGGGACAAGAGAGGCCTCAAATACGGGGGTGAGGGAGAGATCCCTGGGACTTTCACCCAGTGGGGCTTTAAAGCCCCACTTGAAGAAGGCGTCCTTGGGGAGGGCCATGGAACATAGGGGTCTTAAACTTTAGTGGCGCTGAAAGCCGGGGAAGGGAGGCCGGGACAACTTCTGTTCACCTCCGTCCTGAGCTGCAGCTTCCACATCTGCAAAACGGGGCGGGGGTGAAGCTCCAGCGGCAGGGTGGGCAGACGCCGCCACACCGTGCGGGCTTCTCCTTCCCGGTGGGGGCATCACCTCGCACACCCCCAGCCCCTGCGTGCTGTAGAGAAAGCAGAAGCCCCGCGGGGCAGCCGGCCCGCGGCCCCTCCGGAGGCTCTCAGCCCGCAGCGCCACCTCGTGCTCACGCATGGCCAGACACCCCAGATCAGAGAGGTCGCGGAGCCCAGGGCCTCTGGAGGCCAAAGTGGACCTGCGCAGTTTGCGGAGCCAGCCCCTTTTTCCCCCTCGCCGACCGCCTTCATCCGGCCACCCTCCGCCTTCCTGGAATCCCCGGACCGAGAATGAGGTCATTGGAATCTTACAGAATTACAGAGGTTAGTGCAAAGATTCCGTTTTCGAGTTCCCAGAAAAGAGTTAAAATCCTGGTCCATCACGAGCCGGTTGTGTGACTTTGGCCAAGTCACTTTACTTCTCTAAGCCTGGAAAAGGGGATGAAAATATCTCCCTGCACAGGATTGTATGTAGGAAGTAACATTTGTAAAGAATCAAGTACAGTGCCCGGCACAAAATAGACAGTCCAGAAACGCTTGTTTCCTCCCTTATGCAACCACTGAATTATGAATTGGATTACAGAAACGTGTAGTCTTAGACTCATATTTTGATAACGGATGCAGAACTGAAAGATTTTGTAAAGCTTTAGGATGGTAGAATTGAGGAACAATAATATAGTTTTCAGGATTTTGCCCTGTGTACCTAACACGGAATAGGCTTTCAACACACATGTCAGTTGAGTTTTAGAGATGGGGAAACATCTGAGTACAGTTTGCCATCATAGCACAGGCTGGGTCACAAACATTTCACTGCACTTCATTAATAATTCAGTTGCCGTTTACTGGGCACATGTCCTTGGACTTGGTGTACATGCTATCATTTCCTCTCCACAACTGCCCTGGATGTTATTGTCACCGTACAGCTGAGGAAAGCAGCCTGTGCCTGGTTTCATCTGTCATATGGCAAGTCTCTCATTCCTGAATGTCCTACCTCAGTGACCGGGCCAGCTGTGCAGATCACACGTGTCAGAGAGGGCAGAGGTGCTCTAAGAAACCAAAAACACTAGGACTCCATTTATTTTTCTGTTGGAAAAAAAAAGGGGGGGTGGAGTTACGCAGCTCTAAGTATCTCCAATCAGACCATGGATTCTAGATCCTAGAGCATGAAAAGCCAAAGATAAAATCCTTCCCCTCCTGGCCCCATTTCACAGATGGGAAGATGGAGGCCCAGAGAGGAGCAGCCCAAGGTCACATGGCAGGTGACGTGGCCACATGGCCAGGATTCTGTGCTTCAGGTCTGGCTATATAATTGGTGGAACCTAGGGTAAAATGAAAATGTGGCGTCTTTTGTTCAAAATTATTAAGAATTTCAAGATGGCAAGAGCAGAGCCTTAAACCAAGCATGGGACCCTTCTAAGGTCCCACTGCCCATGAAGCCAGCCCTGCTGTGCTTTAATCATACCATTACAGAGAAGGAAGAAGCAAACGCCCTGTGTTGGTCAATATGGCAAAAGAGCATCTGTATGGATTTGTATGAAACCCAAACCCTCTGTAGCTCAGGGAGCTGATTAGACTCTTTCAAATCCCATAATTTCCCTCCATGGGTGTTATCATACCACCCCCTGATTTCCCCAAATTGTCATGGCCAAGGGGCCAAAGGGTTGCCCTCTTGGAGAGAGAGGGCAGATGGCAATGGAGATACTAACACCTACCAACTGCCTCCAAACCAGCTCATAGGATGTTTCTCTGGACAAGACTGCCAGGCATGTGGGGGGCAGAGGCCTACCTCTACTCGTACCTAATGTCCACCAAGACAGTAGAGGTCATCGTAGGCTAACAGGGCTTGCCCACTGATGCTCAGTGTTCTGTGTGGGCTAATTTGACCAAGGAGCAAATGTCCACTGATACCTCATATTTATCAGTACCTAACGTCCATCAATGACAGCCCTCACCAATGGCTGATATCCACAAAGGGAAAATGTCCAGTGGTGGCAGCGTCCACTACTGCCCAACACACACCAGTGCCAGTGCTTGCAGGCAGCTCATTGCAATGATCATTGCTCTTCGTGTCACTACCTAATGTTGGTCCAGACTTAACATCTGGCGACAGCAAATAACCATCTAGTTAAGTTACATGCCCTGTGTTTATTCTTCTCTTTTATTTATTTAACTCCCAGTGGTTGTATTTATGGGGATTATTGTGTTTGTTGAGCTGGGTGGGAAAGTCTTCCTGTGTTTACTGTTTAATTCCAAAAGCTATTTATTATTTTATTTGGCATATCCATTAGTCAAAATATTCCAAATTAGGAACACAAGCATACATTTATGTTTCTTGACATATACACATATGTACATGTAACATGTATATATAATTATTAAATACAGGAATGATACAGAAAGACAGAAAAAGAGAAACTGCTTTGAGAACAGAAGTGTCAAGACAAGAAAAGTGTTTTAATTAGTTGATTCTTAGAGGAAGCAACTTTTCCAAAGTTGAGTGATTATTCGAGACGTCGGCCCTCCTGCTCTGGCAAAGGACAGAAAGCCCTACGCTGGGCTGAGAAAAGCTAGGTTCTCTAATAATGTTAAGACACTGATGCAAGGGCTCCTTCGGGCAGAAGAGCCAGTGGGTAAGGCACAGGCTCCAAAGGGAGGCTGCCTGGCTCAAGGGCAGCTCTGCTACTTCCAGCTAAGCCACTCAGCCTCTCTCTCTCTCCCTTTTTTTTTTTTTTTTGGCTGCATCGGGTCTTCGTCACAGCATGTGGGATCTTCGTTGTGGCGTGCAGGCTCTTCATTGCAGTACATGGGCCTCTCTCTAGTTGTGGCGTGCAGGCTCAGTAGTTGTGGCACACGGGCTTAATTTCCCCGTGGAATGTGGGATCTTAGTTCCCCCACCAGGGATCAAACCCGCGTTCCCTGCATTGGAAGGCGGATTCTTTACGAGTGGACCACCAAGGAAGTCCCTCAGCTTCTCTCTGAGCCTCAGTTTCCACATCTGTATAATGGATATGGTAGCCACCTCAAAGGGTGGTTGTGGGAAAGTCAATGTACATAGAACATTTAGAATTGTGCCTGGCATATAATAAGTGGCATATAATAAATAATATGAAACACAATTGACTCTTGAACAACTCAGGAGTTAGGGAAGCCAAACCCCCAAGCAGTCGAAGATCCTAGTGTAACTTTACAGCCAGCCTTCCGTATCCATGGCTCCGCATCTGTGGTTTCAACCAACCATGGATCACGTAGTACACGTTTAGTGAAAGAAATCTGCATATAAGTGGACCCCTGTGGTTCAAACACGTGTTGTTCAAGGGTCAACCTTACCTTTTTTTTTTGAAAATTCTTTCTTTTGTCAAGCTTATAAGCATGCTGTGACTCAAAACATTCTCAGACAGGGTTTCTTTGGTGTCCATCGGCTCTCAGCAGGTGATCTCATAGAAGCTGTTATGCTTAGGAATTTGACTGAAACGAGGTTCTACCCTCTGCACCAGAACATTTCAAAATGGCCTCACCACGCAGCTTCCTCCCAACACTCAGTGCTGAGGAAACGTCCCCATGACCATCCTCCCCAGGCCTGGCAGTCAAAGATGGAACGGCTGACCTGCTGCAAGCTGAGATGCAGGGAAAACTTGCAACTCTTCTCACTCTCCCAGACAGCCTCACTCTCTGTCTGAAATTCTACCATTACTCTTTGGCTTTAGCTGTGATTGTTGTCTGATGTCCTTGCT